TTCCGCCTGAGACTTCCTCACAATTTGACCAAAACCCCCGCTGCCGCCCGAAACGTCCTCGCATTTTATTCAGGAATCGCGCTCTCGCTTGGGACATCCTTACAATTTATAAGAATCGTTTTCCCGGCGCTCTGGAGTCGCGCTTTCGCTGGAGACTTGCTCGCAATCTGCTGAAGAATAGCGCCCTTGCGTGAGAATTTCCCGCAATTTACTGAAGCGCCGCGCTCCCGACACCCAGGAGTTGCGTTCACGCTGCGGACTCCACCACAGATTACCTGGGAATCGGGATTTCGCTGCCCTTCGTGGCCCCATTGCAGCCCTTCGTGGCCCCCTCGCTTTGTTTCGTGGCCCCGTTGCATCCCTTCGTGGCCCCTCTCGCATCCCTTCGTGACCCCGTTGCAGCCCCTCGTGGCCTCCTCGCTGCCCTTCGTGGCCCCGTTGCAGCCCTTCATGGGCCCCTCGCTTTGTTTCGTGGCCCCGTTGCGGCCCTTCGTGGCCCATTCGCTGCCCTTCGTGGCCCCGTCGCAGCCCTTCCTGGCCCCGTCGCAGCCCTTCGTAGCCCCTTCGCTGCCCTTCGTGGCCCCGTCGCATCCCTTCGTGGCCCCATATGTATGCCCTTCGTGGCCCCCGCTCGTTCGCGCCCGTGGTGGCCCCATATGTATGCCCTTCGTGGCCCCGCTGTCGCCCTTCGTGACCCCCTCGCTTCCCTTCGTGGCCCCGCTGCTGCCCTCAATGGCCCCGTCCTTGTCCTCCGCGGCCCAGTATACGTACGCCCTTCGTGGCCCCCGCTCGTTCGCGCCCGTTGTGGCCCCACATATCTATATATATATATATATATATATATATATATATATATATATATATATACGCCCTGCGTGGCCCCGCTGTCGCCGTTTGAAGCCCCCTCACTGTCCTACGTGGCCCAGTTGCTACCCTCAGTGGCCCCATCGTTGCCTTCTGTGGCCTCGCATTATCTGCTTTTCGTGGCCCCCGCTCGTTCGCGCTCTTCGTGGCCCCATACACATTCCCTTCGTGTCAACGCTGTCGCCCTTCGTGGCCTACTTCTTGTCCTTGTGGCCCTGCTGTCGTTTTCTCTCGCTCTCGATTTCGCTCGTCGTCGTCGTCGTCGCCGTCGTCGTCGTCGCCGTGGTCGGTCCCCTTTCCGTCCCTCTTGGGGTCGGGTCGACGGTCCGCGGCCGCCCCGCCGATCAGAGCTGCCGCTGGCCAGGCCGACGGTCCGCGGCCGCCCCGCCGCTTGCCAGGGCCCGGCCTGCAGGGAAGAAAAGTGTACCCCCAAAAGGGGTTCGATCGAAGACGAAGAGGGCGGGTATCGAGGGTTTGGGAAATACGCGTTATTGCACACTCGGGCAGATAAGGGCGAACAATATTAAAATGATTGTTGTTGTTTTTGTTTGTTTGTCTGTCTGTCTGTCTGTTTGTTTGTTTGTTTGTTTGTCGTCGTCGTCCCACCCGCGACTTCCCCGCGACCCACCTCGCGACCCACTCCGCGACCCACCCCGCGACCCATTTGCGAACCACCCGCGACCCAACCCGCGACCCGAACCGCGACACACCCCGCGACCCACCACGCGACCCACCCGCGACCCACCCGCGACCCACTCCGCGACCCACCCGCGACCCACCCCGCGACCCACCCGCGACCCACCCGCGACCCATTTGCGACCAATTTGCGACCTACCCACATTGGTTGAACGACAAAAACGGCGCCTGCGGCGAGCTCGTTGTCAGAGTCTCGCAGACTGCCGACGTCCTCACCGCCCCCTGACTCTTACCCGTATAAGCGGGGTGCTACGGTATCCACCTCTCTCTCACGCGACTCAAGGAGTTTTAAGCCGGGCCTGTCCCCCTACAGGAGGATTTTCGACGAAAAATAAAACATACCCAAAAAATAATCCAAACATGCTCCAAAGATAGCCTGGGGACTATTGTTTTGTCCTGTTTGGTGTATCTTTGGGTTTATTGCTTACTTTTCGTCGAAACTCCCCCTGTAAGGGGGACAGGCCCGACTTAAAAGCAGTTCGAAATGGGGCCATGGACCTCCCCAGGAGGTCGGTTTTGGACACCCGGAATGGGTACGGAAAAAATGGGTACAAGGCCCAACAACAAATGTTGGGCCAAACCAACAGCGGCCGCTGTTGGGCAGGCGGCCTTCTGTCTCGAATGGACACAGGCCGCGGCGGCGTGGACAGCGAATCCGGTTCAAAATGAACAGGAACTGCTGTTGGGCATTGTACCCATTCTTTCCTTACTCCAGATTTCGTAATAAAAGGGAGGGGGTCTGGACCCTCCAAGACAAGCCATGTCAGACCTCCCCCGTGGGAGAACCCTCCAAAACATCGTCCCCAGATCCCCCCAGGCCCTCCAAGATAGCCTGGAAGAGACCCCCCCGAAATGAGACCCCCCTCCCTTTATTACGAAATCTGAAGTACCCACTTCGGGCGCCCAGATCGCTGGCCTCCCCTCTTATGGGGGTGCCTCGCTTTGGCCCGACACCCCACTTATGGGGGAGCCCCTCTGGGGGAGGAGGAGGTGGAGGTGGAGGTGGAGGTGGAGGTGGATGAGGAGGGGGAGGGGGAGGGAGGGGGAGGGGGGGGGGAGGGGGAGGGGAGGGGAGAGGAGGAGGAGGGAGGGAGGATGAGGAGGGAGGAGGAGGAGGAGGAGGAGGAGGGGAGGGGAGGGAGGAGGAGAGAGTAGGAGGAGGGGAGGCCAGCGACGCTGGCCTCCCTCCCGAGCCCACTCCCGCCGCAGCGAGCGAGCCCCAGCGGGGCCCAGCAGGCGATGGGCAGGGCGGGAATCTCGGGGCCCCGCTGCCCGACCCGCCCGTGGGCCCTCGGGCGTGCTGGGGTATCCACGAGGACGCCCCGCGGCACTCCAGTGGGAGTGAGGAGGAGGAGGAGGTGGAGGAGGAGGAGGAGGAGGAGGAGGAGGAGGAGGAGGAGGTGGAGAGGAGGGGAGGGGGGAGGAGGAGGAGGAGAGGGGAGGAGGAGGAAGGAGGCGGAGGAGGAGGAGGAGGAGGAGGAGAGGAGGAGGAGGAGGAGGAGGAGGAGGAGGAGGAGGAGGAGGAGGAGGAGGGAGGAGGGAGGGGGAGGGGGAGGAGGAGGAGGAGGAGGAGGAGGAGGAGAGGAGGAGGAGGAGGAGGAGGAGGAGAGGAGGAGGAGGAGGAGGAGGAGGAGGCACCACCAAATCGAGTTCGAGGCGCGCCGAGCGGGGAAAAAGAAAGGCCACGACAGAAGGAAAGGCCGAGGAGGAGAGGAGGAGGAGGAGGAGGAGGAGGAGGAGGAGGAGGAGGGAGAGGAGGAGGAGAGGAGGAGGAGGAGGAGGGAGGAGGAGGAGGAGGAGGAGGGAGGAGGAGGAGGGGGAGGAGGAGGAGGAGGAGGAGGAGGAGGAGGAGGAGGAGGAGGAGGAGGAGGAGGAGGGGCAGTCCTGGCCCGATGGCGGGCACGCCCCCCCGAGCCGGCAGAGCTTCCCACGCTGGCGCGCGTGAGCAGCACCGCGGACCAGCTCCCGCTCGACGCATCGGAGCAGTGGGCAGCAGCAGCTGGACCTCTGGAGGCCCGAAGCGGTGCGGCGACGGACCGCGCGGTGACCTCGAAGTCCCCCAGGACCTCACCGCACGCTCCGTCAACGCACGGCTTTTTGGGACCCCGGAGGCCCCCGTCGCCCGAGGCGCCCTCGGAGAACGACCCGAGCCCCAAAACCGTGCGGTGACGCCGCATCCCCGCCGACTCACCGCGCGGTGTGGTCACCGCCCCGTGTGGGGACCCCCGAGGACCCGAGAGATCTGTCCACCCGATGGTCCGGGAGAAGAGCCGGACACCCGACGCCGTGCCCCGTCTCCCACAGCGCGGGAGCCCCCGGGGACCCCGACCTCCTGCCACCCTGACTCCGGATCCGCCCTACTTCGGCTTTTTTTCCAACTTAAAATTGCGTCGGAAATCCACCTAGAAGAGACCGAAAAAAAAGGACGGAAATTGCTGCACCCAACATAAATTATTGCGAAAACCCACAGAAACAGCAAAAGAAAAGTCGGGCGGAAATTGGCATCAGCGGGGCTTGAAAAGTAAAGCGGAAATTCCAAGCCCTACTTACGAATTTCCCCAAAAAGTAGGGCGGATCTGGAGTCAGGCCAGGGATTCGGTCCTCGTCCTGAGCAGCGCCTCGACGGTCCTGGTGAGGTAGCCGAGGCGCCGGCGACACGGCAGAACCACTGTTGCACCCATCGGTCGGAAGACGTAGGCAGAAACACGAAGCAGGAAGGCGTCGGAGGTGGATTGGGCGTCCGCCCGCCCCCGAAGGGAGGACGGAACAGGTGAAGCCACTCGATCACTGAAGTGGGAAGGCGCTCAAAGTAGATTGGAATCTGGGCATCCAGCAGTACCTGCTTTCAACGACCGATGGGCATTTGATCCGCTGCTTTGCTGCCTGGGGTCGGCGGTCACAGCTGGCTCCGCGGCCAGGGGGCCTCGAGGCGGCCAGGACCCCCCCGACCGGCACCCCCCGAGAGGAGCGAGGCATGTGCTCTGGCACCTCGCTCCCCGACCCACGAGGCACTCGGACCTGGACCCTGAGAGGCCCCCCGGGTGGGTGGGAGGGTGGAAAACATGGGGGGTCGGAAGATGCTGCCGCTTCGCCGATACGTCGCCGATGCATCGCGCATGATGCATCGGCGATGCATCAGCAACGTCGGCGCTGCATCGTCATGGGGACACAGGGCTCCACATCGAGCCGCATCGCCCATGCGTCGGCGACGTAGCGCGCTTCCGAACCCATCGGCTCCGACCCCATCCAGGAGGCCTTGACTCCCAGCACCTCGATGCTCGAGGCACTCGATCCTCGAGGCACGCGAAGCAGTCGGGGCACTCGACACTCGGACCTCTCTATATGAGATCGATACTCGATCCTCGAATCTCGAACCTCGCCGCTCGATCCTCGAACCTCGACATCCTCGAGGCACGCGAGGGCGATGCCCCCATAGCCGCTCCTTCGGCGACGCGCCGCCCTGCGACATCGCCTCGACCTTCTCGCAATAATGTCTCCTCGCTGGCGCCGGCCCGTCCCAAGCGCCGCCGCCGCAGCTGCCGTTGCAGCCCGCCGTCCATGCGCCTCGCCTCCGCCTGCTCCGCGTCGCATCCTCCTCCTTCTCGTCGCCCCTTGCTTCCTCTTCCTCCCGGTCCTCTCCGCCCCTCTTCTCCCTGTACCTCCCCCGTTCTCCTGCTCGCCCTGCTCCGCCTCGCGTCCTGCAGAGCCGAGAGAAGGCCTTGCACTGGAACGTAACGATAAGTTTGCCTTCTCGGCGTGGATCGGCGAACAATTTGCCGATCTGTACTTGAACAACACGGCGTCGGCAGCGACGACCGCTCGACTCTCAACACAACTACTAATTGGCATAACTTCTCACCCATGCGTACCCTTATATGAAAACACCCCGCATTGGCTGATAAATCGAAAATGGAGATGGGAATCTGCAGACTGTGATCATATGCTGGGTGAGAACTACCGTGGGCGCAGAATGCCCATTTCTCATGATGGTAAGCCTCTGCTAGGTATCCGACCTAGCGGAATCATACGTAAAAACTTTCTCGGCACTAGTTGCAAGGATGTCGAGCGGCATGACGTCAACAAACAGCGATCTCCGAACTTGCGATTAGCAATACTTATGTACAGCAAGATGCTGTCAACCGCTCACATGCGTATACCATGATCAGTAGTAGGGTTCGAAGTTCGGGGCACCAAAGCCGTGCGGTGACGAACCGCATGGTGACCTCGGAACCCCCCACGACCTCACCACGCGGTCCATAGCCGCACGGTCTTGGGACCTCGGAGGCCCCCGTTCCTGGGATAACGACCCAAGTGCCGAAAAACTGCGCCGTGATCCCGAATCGCCACTGACTCATCACGCGGTGCGCTCACCACACATTTCCCTGAGATCCGACGTAGCGAAGAAATTGCAACATTGTAAGACATGAGGCCCGGAGCCCTAGGCCATAGGCCCGCTCTTTCTGTATCGTCGTCTTTCGAGCCGGATCACTCCACAAGGGCCCCAGGGCCAGAAAACGAGTGAAAGCGCACAGCTAGACTGAAGTCGGGCGTGTCTCCCTACAGGGGGATTTTCGACGAAACATAAAAAAATGCACAAAAAATAATCAAAAATGATACAAAAATAGTCTGGGTACTATTTTTTGAATATGCTGTTTTGCCATTTTGGGGATTTGTTTCGCGTGTTTTTAATTGTTCGACTGATATCCCCCTGTAGGGGGACACGCCCGACTTAAAGCTGGACAAAAACAGAAATGCCAACATCTCAGGGCTTGGGGCCCCCCGAAGAGGAGAGGCGGGGACGAGCCCGCCCGCTGCCGGCTGGCGCCGTGGCGCGCGGGCGGACGGCGTCGTCGTCCTCGTCCTCGTCCTCGTCCTCGTCGTTGCCGTCGTCAGTGTCGTCGTCGTCCTCGTCGTCGTCGTCGCCCTCCTCCTCGTCGCCGTCGTCGCCTCCTCCTCCTCCTCCTCCTCCTCGTCGTCCTCGTCGTCGTCCTCGTCCTCGTCGTCGCCCTCCTCCTCCTCCTCGCCGCCGCCGTCGCCCCGGCGGGAGGCCCGCGTCCTCTCGGCCTCGGCGCCGTCCGCTCGGGCGACGTCCTCGAGGCAGGCCTCGGGCGCGCCGCCGAGGGGCACGCGCGGGCGCCCCTCTCCATCGCGCTCCCGCGGCGCCCCCGGCGCGCCGCGGCAGGCAGACCGAGCTCCACGGCGCCCGCTCTGTCGGGTCCTCCTCTGCCTTTTCCTCCTCCTCGTCATCGTCGTCGTTCCCTCCTCCTCCTCCTCCTCCTCCTCCTCCTCCTCCTCCTAATTCTCCTCCTTGTCCCCCTCCTCCTCCTCCTCCTCCTCCTCCTCCTCCTCCTCCTCCTCTGGTCCTCCTCCTCCTCCTCCTCCTCCTCCTCCTCCGCCTCCTATGGCCAGGGCCCCAGGCAAGGGGACCCGGTCGGTGGTACAGTCGGGCTTGTTTGGAGAGGACACGCGAGAGGACACAAGACCCTTTCGAGGGCCGCATCGCCACAGGAATGTACGAAGCATGGGTCCGCGAGACAGAGGACAAAAGGGTACCCTTGATCTGGCAGGGTCGACCTACTAATCCGGGCCTCCTGTAGGGCCCCGGAGTCTTTGAATCGGCCAGAATCTGGCCAGAATCACGAAGCCAGGATTGCCATAGCTGGTGCCTTTTCGGGTGACGGCAGTTCCGGTTAGTGGAAGTGGGACGGGGGGGCGCCCCCGGTACAGATCAGGTCCCACTAAACCCAGTTCTGCCAACGCCCGACTCTGGACTGATGGGCAAATCTTCCACCAGCAGGACGGGGGAGAAAGGAGGATGAGGAGGTCCTCCTCCTCCTCCTCCGCCGCCTCCGCCTCCCTCTCCTGCCTAGATTAAAATGGTGGTAGGAAATAGGCCCATCATGGACGCCCGAGGTGGGTACGGAAAAAGTGGGCACAACGCCCAACAACAACTGTTGTCCCAAACCAGCAGCGGCCGCTGTTGGGCAGGCGGCCTTCTGCCTGGGACAGCGTCCGCGGCGACACCGGCAACGAGTCCTGTTCAAAATGAACAAGACATGCTGTCGGTATTTGTACCCATTCTTTCCGTACCCATTGCGATCGTCCCGCACTGCTCGACAACTCAACCTCCGCGGGCAATTGAACTTACTGCCGGCTCCAAGAGCGCAAAGGTACCGATGCCGCTGGCCCCTGGGCCTCTCCCAGGGTGCGCTCTGAGTGGAATCTCGAGGCGAATCCGACCGTAGCGAGGAGGACTCTCTTCAGAACGTCCAGGATCTATCAGTATCTCTTCCTCCTCTGAGGATTCCTATCGCGTTTCGGAAATAGGGCAACGAACAATGACATGAACATAATAACTCGGAGGTCCGCACGGATTTCTCGGATCGGCGCTGGGGCCCCCCTGGCGGCGCCTCCGGCGCCGCCCATGGCGCGCTTCGCGCGCCAGGAAGGGGGGTCCCAGCGCCGATCCGAGAAATCCGTGCGGACCTCCGAGGTTTTTATGTTCATATCATTGCTCGTTGCCCTCTAAGAAAACAAACATATCAAACTGGCGACCATGGGGCCCACGCTGCAGCTGCAACAAGAAGGCGTCGGGGCCCTCCAGCGACGGGCACGACGAAGACGAGGAGGCGGGGGCGACCCGCGAGTAGATTGGGTGTGAGCCCACCCCCTAAAGAGGGGGAAAGAGGGGCAGCCACTCGATCATTGAAGTAGGAAGGCGGTTCAAGTAGATTGGAATCTGGGGATCCGCAAATACATACTTTCAACGACCGATGCGTATTCCTCCTGTAGCCTAGGACATGCCCGACGTAACGCTGCGGGAGGGCTACGCTCGAGGGGAGAAGCCACGACCTGCAACCAGCGACACACATCGCAGACAGATCGGCGACACAGTCCACCCGTACACACTGGAGGCCCGACCACAAGAAACCTTCCACAAGAAACCCAACCCTGAGACCCCAGGACGTCCCTTGATTTTTCCCCACATGTTTCGTGGGGTTCTGGTTTTCTTCCCTGCCGCGCCGCACCCGCGTCTCACACCTCCCCCCTCCCCTTCTCCTTCTCGCACAGCACAGCACAGCACAGCACTGCTCAGCATAGCTCAGCACAGCTCAGCTCAGCTCAGCTCAGCACAGCACAGCTCAGCTCAGCTCAGCACAGCACTGCTCAGCATAGTTCAGCACAGCTCAGCTCAGCTCAGCTCAGCACAGCACAGCACAGCTCAGCACAGCACGGCACAGCACAGCACAGCACAGCACAGCACTGCTCAGCACAGCTCAGCACAGCTCAGCTCAGCACAGCTCAGCTCGGTCGTCCAGGCCGTAGCAGGCGTGGCAGTTTCTCGATACCATAGGGGGTGCGCAGGGGGTGGTCCCCCTATCCGCGCCGGTCGTCCAGGCCGTAGCAGGCGTGGCAGCTTCTCGACGCCATAGTGGGTGCGCACGGGGTGGTCCCCCTATCCGCGCCGGTCGTCCAGGCAGTAGCAGGCGTGGCAGATTCTCGACACCATAGGGGGTGCTGGTCTCGACGCCAGTTTCTCGAGTGGGTGCGCACGGGGTGGTCCCCCTATCCGCGCCGGTCGTCCAGGCCGCAGCAGGCGTGGCAGTTTCTCGACACCATAGGGGGTGCGCAGGGGGTGGTCCCCCTATCCGCGCCGGTCGTCCAGGCCGTAGCAGGCGTGGCACTTTCTCGATACCATAGGGGGTGCGCACGGGGTGGTCCCCCTATCCGCGCCGGTCGTCCAGGCCGTAGCAGGCGTGGCAGTTTCTCGACACCATAGGGGGTGCGCAGGGGGTGGTCCCCTATCGCGCCGGTCGTCCAGGCCGTAGCAGGCGTGGCAGTTTCTCGACACCATAGGGGGTGCGCAGGGGTAGTCCCCCTATCCGCGCCGGTCGTCCAGGCCGTAGCAGGCGTGGCAGTTTCTCGACACCATAGGGGGTGCGCAGGGGGTGGTCCCCCTATCCGCGCCGGTCGTCCAGGCCGTAGCAGGCGTGGCAGTTTCTCGACACCATAGGGGGTGCGCACGGGGTGGTCCCCCTATCCGCGCCGGTCGTCCAGGCCGTAGCAGGCGTGGCAGTTTCTCGACGACCCATAGGGGGTGCGCACGGGGTGGTCCCCCTATCCGCGCCGGTCGTCCAGGCCGTAGCAGGCGTGGCAGTTTCTCGACACCATAGGGGGTGCGCAGGGGGTGGTCCCCCTTTCCGCGCCGGTCGTCCAGGCCGTAGCAGGCGTGGCAGTTTCTCGACGCCAAGTGGGTGGCGCACGGGGTGGTCCCAGCGCGGGTCGTCAGGCCGTAGCAGGCGTGGCAGTTTCACCGGGGGTCGTCGCGCCGGT